GACCCGAACCACCGTGCTCGGTCGCCGGGAGACCCCGAGGGACGCCGCCCGAGATCCCCGACATCCGGACCCCCAAACCGAGCCGCGACGGCCCCGAGGCCACGGCTTAAAAAGTTACTTACCGTAACACAAATATTGATTAAATATCAAACAGAATAAATAGAGACAAATATGAAATTCAAACTCACAATATATTCTGATATCATGATAAATATTTTGATTGAATTAACAGATACCTCGTCCCCACCATTTTTGGATACCATCTTTTTCAGGTCATCAGGCGGGAAACAGGTGAAGCCATCGGCCTCACTCAGCCACGTCAGAGGAAGAACCTGGATCCTTTGGTCCAATTGGAAGACAGCATATGCCTACCTTTTCCTTCATGATCTGCTTTCCAGTGTAGTAAATCTGCCTTTTTCTCTTCCTTATCTTACCGTAGTTGGAATTCTTCAAGCCATTCTCTTGTCTTGGCCATCACTTCTTCCAGCTTAAGCACTTAGTGGAAATGATTAAGATTCTGCATTTCAAATAGTTCTAATAATCATTGGCAACATCTAAATGCTAATCCAAGGTTTGTTTAGATAGTTACACCGGTGCCATCATAAAGATCCACACGAGTAGACTTTCATACCTTCGGGAACTTCTCCAATTATTGAGCTTTTATGGCAGAATCTTGGCAAGAAAAGCACGAGGACAGGGAAGACAACAGCCAATGTTCTTCCATTGAGAAGTTCCTAACCATCGGTGATCTTAAGATTGAAGAGTGACAGCAAATATTTTCCAGGTACAGGGAGAAGAAGAGTACCTGATTTCTTTTCTTTCTCCTTGTGTTCCCCGCATAGTTTCTTTCTTATGGAAGCAAAGTCTTAAGAACAGTGACTGATCCATAAAACTTCTGAACCTCTGTTGCTGCTGATAAAGCAACTGCCAAGAAATGATACTTGTGATTTTTATCACCAAGTTCCATATTTTCTCTTTTCTAAACATTTTTAGCTAGATCTATCGAAAAAGCAACTATTAGTGATACTTCAAAAAAGGGGATGATAAGACGCATACGAGTCCATGTTTGTTCCATCCTTGTGCTAATTTTAACTTGCATTTTTCAACCAGACCGCAAGTTCTGCAAAGTGATGCAAGTCTGGTGTTTTGCAGTATGCTCGCAGGGAGGCTCTTGCAGATAGCCAACCGAAGGTACGAGGAAGGTTTGTGAAGACGGAAGAACCTCTTAGTGATACTTCTTGCTCGGTTGCTTCGATGCATTACTGTACCCAGCAACAATGTCACAGAGTTGGACTGGTATAGACATCATCAAACAGTAGAACCGTCCACATAACAGCAAGTGCAAGCAGATATCAATTACTCACGAAAAGACAAGTGAAGTTGGAGATAGAACAGGATGGATCCTCCTTACACACTGTCTAACCAGCTGAAGTTCCAGAATGAGAGAAACGTGGACATTATTAATATGCATAAGCAGATAAGAGAAACACGAGTAGGTATCATTTACTGAAGTTGCCACACTGTTGCGTGAAGCCACTTGGTGATCTGCCTCTGCCACGATGTTGGTGCAGGGCATTTCGCTTTTGTGCAGGTTGATGGCCATTACCACGATATGCTTGCTGGGTCATCAACCTCATCCTCTGCTGCTTCATATCTGCAAAAAGTGCATCCAACGTCTGTGGCCTCTGCTTGGTTACCACCTTATCCTGCACGTAATTATTGTCGACTCGTCAGAGAACAGCAAAAGAATCCAAGAAAAAGACCTTACAACTGACCAATGTAATGTCTTCCAAATTGTACATTCTACAAAACAAAATCGATTCAGCAACGATTACCCAGAAATCTTAGAGTCAATTTGTGGACATTTATCAATTATCAACTTGAACAATAGGGAATATATGTAAGAGAAGGAAGGGATGGCAAAAATGACTGTCATGCTAAAGATCAATGCCATTAAAAGGTTATAGTCAAGCAGCATCTTGCTCTGCTACCAAGGGTTGCGACAGTCTACAGCATAAGACGAAACAAAAGAGTGTTTTGGGGATACTACGACAGTCTGCAGCTGTCACAAGATCAAAACCATCTCCACATGTGCTACAAAATTCCCTCCAGCGTCATAAAGACGCAAACCAAGGCAACAAAGTCAACAAATAAAAGAAGAAACGCAATCCTCCACCAATTAAGAAAGAAAGCGCAAGAAGAGATAACCTAAACTACAGCGACATCGTCGACGCATGGTACGGGTAAATTAGTTGAGGATCGAAGATTGCGGATGCCGAAAGAAAGCAACATGTATCGAGAAATCAGCGAGCTGCACCAATACAGATGGAGCAAGGGAGAAGAGAACTCGCCTTATATCTATCCACCGCAGACAGGGGGATCACAGGGACGAGGTTTGGCTCCAAGAATTAGGGTTCAGAGGGAAACAAACGATCGAGCACGAGCTCCCCAGCAAGAACTCCCCTTCTCTGTGGTACTCGACCAGCGATCGAGCACCAGCCCCCTTCACCGCCGATCTGTCTTGTATGTGAAAGAAAGGAAAGGGAGGCGGCCCAGTCACTCACGTTGACCTAGTGCTTGACCAAAATAAATAAATACTAGTGTGTATGTATATATATATATATATATATTCATAATCATTATGCTACGTCATCAATTAATATGATATAGAATGATATAAAAGATGGTTAACTTTGTTGGTAAATATTTTA